TTTTTTGTTTCACTAATTCCCATAACTATCTTAAAAAAAAAATTAATTAAAAAAGGGATTTGATGACAATTCCACTATCCGAGATTTATACGGGTTTATCTGTTATAAAAAAATGGGCAAACATCAAAATAATTCCAAAAAAAGTGTAACTTGCTAAGAAATGTATTCTGAGAATTGTCAATTTAAAAAATCCTCGTCCAATAGGGGGGATTAATCTCCGATAGTAGTGCATTTCTGTGTTTTTACTTAATATAAAAAAATGGGCAAACATCGAAATGATTCCAAAATAAGTGTAAGTTACTAAGAAAGGTATTCTGAGGATTGCCCATTTAAAAAAAAAATCCTCGTTTAATAGGGTGGCTTAATCACCGATAATAGTGCATTTTTGTGTTTTTACTTAATATAAAAAATGGGCAAATATCGAAATGATTCAAAAATAAGTGTAAGTTGCTAAGAAATGTATTCAGAGGATTGTCCATTTTTTAAAAAAAATCCTCGTCCAATAGGGGGGCTTAATCTCCGATAATAGTTTATTTCTGTGTTTTTACTTACTTACAGTAACCTCTGTACTTTATCAGAGGACCGCTACTACAATTTTGCTACGGTTAATAGTTCAGTTTTCGGCCACCAGGTTTCTAACCTAAAATTCTCAAAAATTTTATTGTTGTTGTTTCGCGTCGTGCCAGGTAAAGTAAACCTACCTGTTCGGTAGTGAATCACAACCGCATATGGCGGAACCCGAAAGGGTAGCCAAAACCACCCCTCCAACCAAAAATGCACAATTCATAGACAGCCTATTCTCCAGGAGAAACAAAGAAAGAATCGAAAAATTTACATTGAATATCAACCAAACATCCCCTGAGCACCACCCCAGAAGTCTTAGCCATGGAAGAAATCATCCGTACAAACATGTGAGTACTCCTAATCCTAAGCATGTATCAGATAAATCATCCAAATCAAGGGTGAATCCACTAAAAGACTTTACAGAAAAAAAAGTATGGAGAAAATCTCAAAAGGTCTTAGCATTGACACAAAGTCGGAACCTATAAAATCCACATCAATGACTAGCATCCAACGCTCCAGCGAAAATTCAATCGGGGCGGACGGCGCAAAACCCATCTCGCATGAAAGTATGGAGAAAAGCTAAAAAAGTATGGAGAAAGGACAAGAAAGTATGGAGAACAGTGTTAGCCGTGAGAGCGATCCATCAACTTTCTATATACTTTCACAGTCACAAACAAACGAAGACAACGCTATACCAAGGAGCTCGGACGACTCGCCGGACGGTAATTTTGAAAGTGCGGAGAATTCCCCTTTGAATAATACTACAGTGAATACCGCGGAAACGGGCTTATTAAACAAATCAGACGCTAATGCGATCGCCAAGTGCGCCGAAAAGACTATAGACGACGTAATACTCGAGAGTGCCGAAAAAGCGGAGGAAAACTAAGCGAAATGGTGCGAAAAAGTCTAGAGAAAGACAAAAGTATGGAGAAAGACAAAAATTTAACCAAAACCTTCGAACAACCGGATAACGCGTCCTCGTCCAATAATAGTGCATTTCTGTGTTTTTACTTGATATAAAAATATTAGCAAACATCGAAATGATTCAAAAATGTATGTTGCTAAGAAATGTATTTTGCTAAGAAATGTATTCTGAGGATAGTCCATTTTTAAAAAAAAAGCCTCGTCCAATAGGGGGGCTTAATCTCCGTTAATAGTTCATTTCTGTGTTTTTACTTATTATAAAAATCTGATGTGTCCAACACATGACTTTCCTATCTAGTTATATAAATGTTTAGAGGATAAACTAAATATATACATTGTCCACATACATCTACCTCGAAACATTTTTCTATAGATATTCATGGAAAACGAAAATACTGAAAAATTTTAATTTCCTACAATTTTTTCTTTACGGTCCATTTTAGAAAAATCATGTATAAACAAAAAGTATAGAGATCGATACCGCAAACAACTTTTATTTCAAAAACTTTCATAATAAAAATCAGAATTTTGCACATTTTGTCAAATTTCTCGAATACGGACCATTTCAGGAAATTTTTACATAACACAAAAATTACAGATAATAATATTAGAAGTAACTTTTATTTGAACAATTTTCCTCTCCAAACATAAATAACAGATATATTCCATAAAATATAAAAACGGCCTCCCATAAAGTACCCCCCCAGATGTTCCGACTTTGTCCAAAATCTAATCATTTCACGTCAGGCCGAAATAAACCTTAAGTTTAAAATTTAATGTTTTTTTCTTCATCCGTTTTTGAGTTTTCTTCAAAATTCGAAATTTACACATTTTCTCAAATATCTCGAATACGGTCCATTTTAGAGAAATTATGTAGAGAATAAAAATTATAGAGAATTATATTACAAACAACTTTTATTTGAACAATTTTTATCAAAAAATATTTTTTTTACATTTTGTCAAATTTCTCGAATACGGACCATTTTAGGAAAATTTTGTATAGAACAAAAATTATAGATAATAATATTAGAAGTAACTTTTATTTAAAGAATTTTCTTCTCCAAACGTAAATAACAGATATATTCCATAAAATATAAAAATGACCACCTATAAAGTACCCCCCCAAATGTTCCGACTCTGCCCAAAATCTAATCAGCTCATTAGACGCTTAAACAAAGCTTAAGTTTAAAATTTGGTGTTTTTCTGTGTATCGGTTCATGAGTTATGCGTTATACAGACACACACACACACACACAGACACACACACAGACATCATCGCGAAAATAGTCAAAACGGATTCAGGGGACCTCAAAACGTAAAAATCCGTCGAAAACTCGAGGTCGAAAAAAATCATGATTCCTATACTTTCCTTATATCTGTATACAGATAGGAAAGTAAAAAAATGGGCAAACATCGAACTGATTCCAAAATAAGTATAAGTTACTAAGAAAGGTATTCTGAGGACTGTCCATTTAAAAAAAAAATCCTCATTCAATAGGGGGGCCTAAAGATTTATGCGCATCTCGTGCGTCGCAACTCGAGCGGAATACTTAATTTTTCGCATTTCGGGCGTAAGGCTACAGGTAGATTACCCTTCGCAACTCGGGCGTTCAAGGATCGGTACCAATATTATAGTAATATAATGAATGTCACCTCTTTAGTTTAACGTGAGAAGGTGCTTTCGACTTAAACTTAAAATTATACAGTATGGTTCAAATGAAAGGAATAAATTCATTATAATGGAAGTAGTTGGTTTTTCGAAAAAATGCTCGCACAGGTCAATTTTGTTTAGTCAAAGCGCAATTTTTTAAATAGAATTCAATTTCCTCCACTTCCCGTTTTTGGGCAGTGACGTCATTAACAATTTTTTTAAATAGTAACCCCAATTTGTTTTTCTTGATTTTGAAAGATCTTGCAATTTCCTACTCGGAAACATAATATTTGAAATATCTGACATAAAATTTTTTTTGAATAAAAGTCATTTAAAGATCAGATAAATAAATTTTATTTTATTTTGAAACATAATAAATGAATAAAAGATTTTTTGTAATTATCGAAATGATTCCAAAATAATTGTAAGTTGCTAAGAAATGTATTCTGAGGATTGCCCATTAAAAAAAAATGTATTCTTAGCAACTTTCAATTATTCTGGAATCATTTCGATGTTTGCCTATTTTTTTATATCAACGAAAAACACAGAAATGCACTATTATCGGAGATTAGGCCCTCCTATTGAACGAGGATTTTTTTTAAAATTGGCAATCCTCAGAATACATTTCTTATCAACTTTCAATTATTTTGAAATCATTTTGATATTTGCCAATTTTTTTATATCAAATAAAAACACAGAAATTGACTACTATCGGAGCTTAAGCCCCCCATTGGACGAGAATTTTTTTAAAAAATGAGCAATCCTCAGTATACGTTTCTTAATAATTTTCACTTATTTTAGAATCATTTTTATGTTTGCCTATTTTTATATCACTAATAAACACATATAAATGCACTCTTAAGCCCCACCCCCCCCCCTATTGGACTTGGATTTTTTTTTAATGGACAATCCTCAGAATACACTTCTTAGCAACTTACACTTATTTTTGAATCATTTCGATGTTTGCTAATTTTTTAAATCAAGTAAAAACACAGAAATGCACTATTATTGGAGTTTATGCCCCCCTATTGGACGAGGATTTTTTTTTAAATGGGCAATCCTCCTAATGTAATATACTATTACAGGGGTGATACAATAGGTTGTACAAAATAACCGGAAAAAAACCATCAGATTTTGATTCTTTTATTTTTTCAATTATTATTTTCCATTTTTTTTATCATCTACATCATCTCTCCTTTGTCTTCTCTTATAAATTTCTGAAATATTTATTTATCCTCTCTTCTATTTTTTCCATTTCGTTTATTATTTGTTGCCTACCTTTTTTTTTCATTTCATTTCCCATTCTCTCTATTTTGTTTATTATCTATTCTATCTTTGTTCTATTAACATGTATAATAATATAACTCGTTCATGTTGCATAACCTCGCTCTGATCGTCCCGCAAACAGTCACAAACAGTTAAAAAATAAGTCATTTTGTAACTGGTTGTATAAATACCTATTTCCAAACCAATTTTCTTAACTGTATCGAAAATATCTAAAATTAGATTAAAAGTATTTTACAATTACCCAATTGATTATTGTCAATATAAAGCAGAGCTTCTAGTTATTATGAGTCATCAGAATGTAATTAAGAACTTCTAGACTTATTTGGAATTATTAATTTCCGATATATCATAAATATGTCATTAAAATTTTCCGATTAACAAACAAATTTGCTACCTCTACAAAATTCAAAATAAATTAAGACGGTTTCAAATATCTACCTAATAAGTATATAATTCGGTCATCATAGAGCCATTAAAGTTAAAGCTGGCTTATCTAAATATTTTCCTATAAATTTTAAAATATTTTGAATCCAGTCTGATGGTTACTATCGTAAAGAAAAGGATAGATATAAAAATGAGTTACGAAAATTCACTGAAACGAAATTATTGTGAAGTGAGCAATAAGGAAAATGATTATAATCTACCATCAAAAATACCAACAATCAGAGTACCCAAATTCGACTTCAACGAAACCACACATTCAGCATTTGATAATTTACCAAAATATTTACAAAATCTGATTAGACAGAAGAACGAATTGAAAGGCGCATCAAAAAACGTAACGAAATCCAAAGATATTGAATATAAAATCCTAGACAAAGCTGTAGTTCTAGAACTGAAGCATTTAAAAGAAAAATTAAAAAGGAATAATAAGAAAATCAGACTGATGCCCGTACGAGACGAGTTTCCGAAATTTCTTAAAAGAACCATTAGTGAAAACATTAAGGACAGGATGATACACAGGGTGTTGGAAAATGGGATGTCTTCAACCAGATGTAGTGCGACTACGAGTGCTGTCAAAAAGTTGTTAACAGTGTATAGTGAAAAACAGAAAATTAGTCTGAAAACCATGAAAATAGTGAATTTAGTGAAATCGAATAGTAGGTGCTAATTTTTGTTATTTTTTAAATGTATATACAGGGTGTTTGCTTAAATTGGTTTTTTTATTATTTATGATAAATATTCAATCTCAGTTATAATATAACAAAAGAAGTCCTTCTAAAATCTAAAATACAATTATCAAATAATAAAATTGATCAGTCAAAAAAAATGTATATTTGACACATTTTTGACAATATTAAAAATAATTGTTATTAAGAACATTTATGTAAACTAAATACGTTTATTTTGTTTCATATTCTCTCATATAGCATTGAACATTGATGTATATACAGTAGACTGGGCCAAAAAAATTTACTATTTTTTTTTTTTTAAATATATCTAGAATGTCATTCAAGATGACAAAAAAAAAATTGTAAAAATTTGAGGCCTTAATATTAATTTTAAGAGATCTATCATCGTTATTTTTGATTTTTAGTCATAATTTGATGTTTTACATTAGAACTGTCAAAAAATTAAAATGAAAAAATTCTTTTTCACTTACTTTTATATAAAATTAAATTCTCTACAAAAAGGTCTAATTGAAAATTTTCGTCAGACGAGCCGTTTTCGAGCAATTGAACTTAATAGATCGACGTGTTTTTTCGATTTGTCCTTTTTATTTTGAAATTTTGTAACTAATGAATTAATGAATATTTTTAAAAGCTCACGTCGGATTCTTAAAGGAAATTTAATGTTCTACAAAAAAGGTCTCTTAAAATTTTTGCCTAAATTTAATTCTTCAAAAGTTATTCACGATTAAAATCAAAGAAAAAATTTAAATTTTTTGTAGAGAATTTAATTTACATAAAAATATGTGAAAAGGAATTTTTTTTACTTTAATGTTTTGACAGTTCTAACGTAAAACATCAAATTATGACTAAAAATCAAAAATAGGGATGATAGGCCTCTTAAAATTAATATTAAGGGCTCATATTTTCACGAATTTTTTTTTTGTCATCCTGAATGACATTCTCTATATATTTTTCAAAAAAAAATAGTTAATTTTTTTGGCCCAGTATAATATACAGTGTGTCTACTTGAGTTGGAACCATATGGCAAACTTTTTTATTATTGGTTTTGTGAAAAAATATATACTTGATAAAAAGTTCTGCATGGTCCGAAACTTAAAATGCAACCATTAGATATAAATTTTTTTACGCCGTATACGAGGTTTGTCTAAAAATATGAATTTTACTTAAGAGTAAAGTATCTTTATTTTTAGAATATAGAAGAATATTATAAAGTAAAGTTATATTGAATTAAAAAATATATTTAAATATGCAATTAAAGTCATTTAGCATGAAAATTCAGGTTAGGTAATTATTTACGTTTTACATTATAATTTATTTGTAGTTATAAATTAATTAATCACCAAACCTGAATTTTAAGGTTAAATGGCTGAAATTGTATATTTTTGAATTCAAAATAACTTTATAAAAATCTCTAATATGTTTTTAGAAAGAGTACATTAAAAATAAAAAATCCATTATGCCAACTTAAGTAGATCCACTTATACAATCGTAAATTCATTTACCCAAGACACTGATTCATATAGATTTTTAGATTTCGAAATTTCTTGATTTAATAAATATTAATTGGTAGTATGTAAAACTGTATATTTATGTAATTTTAGCATATAAATACAAAATACAATTGAAAAACTAGAATTAAGATATATAATACTTGGCTTCCCCCCATTTTTAATCAGATTTTTTTTTTTTCAAAATTATTAGGTTTCAATTTGATATCGTTTTTTTTTTCTGAGTTAATATTTCAACTCCCATAATCCCCATTTGGCTTCATCCCCTTATAGAGCCTAATTTTTACTAAAAATATCATGTTGATATCGCTTTTCGTTTTTGATTTCTAATTTTTTTTTTAATTTCATCCCCGCTTAACCCCCAATTTTTTTTCAAAATTAATAAGCTTTGTCTCCTTATAGAGCTTGATTTTTGCTAAAAATTTCATGTTGATATCACTTTTCGTTTTTGATTTTTTAATATTTCAATACTCATTTTTATTTAGATTTTTTCAGAATAAATAATTTAGGATTTTTTTAAAGTTTAACCTTCCTTAATTGACATTTTTATTGAATTTTTTTCAAATTCAATTGGCTTCGTCAATTTTAAGTTAATGTTTTTTATTTTTGATGTATCGGGCGGTTAGACAGACAGACATTTTTAAAAGTTGTTTAAAAATTATATGAGAAGAATTGTTACAATTTTTTTTAAAATTTGGATCAATATAAAAAATTTTAGTTTCTTGAAAGTAAACCTATAATACTCTTCAGACTACTTACTCTGTTAGTTAGGTGAATATTGTTTTGTACCTTATTAGAAAATTTTGATTTGGTTTACAAGAATAATATAAATTTGTGCAATTATTGTAAAAATATATTTTTTAAAAGTATACCTATTTGTTTTTAGTATAGCTGTTGGAATAATACATTAAATTCAAAAATAATTTAATAAATAATATCTTTATCCAAACAACAATCTAATATAATTTTTTTTTTTAATTTTAATTTACCATAACCAGTTCTGAAAATATTAATTTTAATTTAAAAAAAAAGTGCTCCAGCAAAATTAGATCCTTCATCCATCGTAAAATATTGTATTTTTTCGTAAATCACTTTTGTGGGGCGATCCCCGGGAATTTGTCCGTCCTGTCCCCTCTCTCGTCGAGCCTGTCCATTCATCACTCTAAAATACCTTTTTGTCAAACTTTTCGCTACCCTGTATATATAGGATCAGACAAAAACAATGATAATGTAATACAGTCCATTCAACACCCTACAATTTCATAATTATACATTCATTCGTTTTTAAGAAAATATCTTGTAACCATACTTTTTCGCTATACCTTGTAAAGATGTAATTGCATACTAATCCTTATTTTTTAACTATAATCAACTATTTTTGATATTACTTTATTATTGCACACAATTCATATATTTTGACAAATCTCCTGAAAATATTTCACATTTGTCTACTTGTAGGGGAATCCGGGGTACTTAAGGTTTGAAATTTTTTTTTTTTGAGAAAATGTACCTTCAGATCTTAACAATTTTTCCTTGAAAGTCATATTTAATATAATTTCTAACGCTTGTTACAAAAATAATTTATTATTCCCTTTTCCTTATTTTGTTATTAATTTGTTAAATTAATTATTGCATCCACCCTTGAAAACAAAAAAGTAAGCAGTAAAAATGTGTCTCTATTTAATGTAGTTTGAATATAAAATATATGTCAACTAAAATGTTACTTGCATTGTATTATGTACTCCAATCTAACTTTAGAATAGACCAATTCATACCACAAACCATAACAAATCTTTCATTTTAAAATGTATATTGTGGTTTTGAAAAGAACTGTTTGTAAGAAACAAATAGATCAAAGATGAAACACTCCTTTTAATTAATTAAAAGTCTCATATACTCGGTTCCATGTTATATTTTTACTTTCCTTCGTTCATTTTTAGTATTTTCTTGACAGCGTTGGTAGATGCATTACACCTCGCCAAAGCAGGCTCAGTCATGTACAACTGAAGAGTTTCTTTCCGCACTTTTTTAATCTGTATGCCTACAAAATGATTTTTTTCTAGAAATGCCTGTTGGTACTAAAGTTTCTGATTTTACCAAATTTTATTTTTAACATTCTTTTTATTCAATGTATTTTTCTCAAATTTGTTTAGGAAATTATTAATAATCTAATCAATCGAATTGAAAATACCTATATACACCTAAATTATAATGTACACTTTTATTAAAACTAAAAAATCAGTACACTCTTAAAAACAAAAAAGTAAGTAATAAAAAAGTGTCTCTATTTAATGTAGTATAAATATAAAGTATTTATGATGTCAAATAACGTATTATGTTCTCCAATCTAAATTTAGAATGGACAGTTCACATCACAATAACAAATCCTTCAGTGTAAAATGTATGTTGTGGTTCTGAAAAGAACCGTTTGTAAGAAACAAGTAGATCTTTTAATTTATTAGTCCCATATACTCGGTTCCATTTTGTATTTCTCCTTGCCTTCGTGCATTTTTAACATTTTCTTAACGGCATTAGTAGATGCATTATACCTCGCCAAAGCAGGCTTTGTCCTATACAACTGATGGTACATTCGATCTTTCACATTAAGACTAATTATCTTTTGCAAATATTTGGGGAACTCGTCTGGAACAGGCATTAACCTCCTGATGCCTATTTCTCGTCTGGTTTTCTCAGAAAAGTGTTTCAATTCTAATACAGCAGCTCTGCTGAGAAAACTATGTTCCAACTGCACAGTGTTGATCTTACTTTTTGGACAAGGTTTTCTTAGACCGTTCTTCTCTTTAATGAAATCCTGCAGATATTTTGGTAGGAAATTAAAATATCCCTGCTTGGTTTCGTCTGTAGCGTCTCTTCTAGCCACTTTACAAAGTGGAATGTCTTTATCTTCAGACAACGTACGTGGACGTTTTAATAAATTTTTACAACTCATCTTTGTACTGGTCACTTTTTAATTTTGCTAATATAAACGATAACACATTTATAATAACTGCAACTGGCAGCTATCGCCCCGTTTTATATGTACGGAAGGGGGAGGGTACCAGTGGTGGGAATCTAGAGGTGGTCACGCAGACGCTTTAGTTAATGACTTTTTCATGGTGGCGTCCGTGAGGCACCTAGTTAATCCCTTAATTTGTTTTGAAGAGTGTTTATCGATTCAATGATTAGATTATTTGTTTACACTACTTAAAGAAGATTTAATTTTAATCTTTCAACACACAATCCAAAATTGAATTTTGGATATATTGTAATTCATGGCAAAATAAGGATTTTATTATTACACACGATGTATCTAAAACTGAAGTCTAAATACCTCAAAACATTTTTAAAAACAACCTGATAGTTGAAAGAAGATATCTATCTTTGGCAACATATTTATTCACAATAAAAAACATGCATTTACAAATGTTAATCTAGTAAAGTATATCAAGTTCTTCTGATACATCAATTATCGAAAGGGAGAATTCATTTTTAAGAGAGCAAATTTTATTTTACACATTTTTTGCCTTAGATTTAAAAAATAGACAATATTTGACCATATTGAACAGTTTTTGACAAGTTATTATTTCTTTATGTAAAAAATTCCTAGGCGAAAAAAATTATTTAAAAAAATTTTATAATTCATATCCCACTATATTGAGTTCAAAGATTTTAAAGTCGTATTTACCAGCCAAAAATATAAATAAATAAATAAAGTTTTTTAAAAAATCGGGTTTCTTAACAATTATTAATTAAATAAAATCACACTTTGAGACGCAACTGAAATAAATAATGAATGAAATTTCATAACACAAATAAAAATTTAGACAGACCTATTTGGCGATTATCTCCATTATTTATTTGGTAATTAATTTTTTACTTGTTTTAATAGGGCCAGGCACAGATTTTGATTTTTTTCTTGAAAACAAAGCTAGATACGAGTAAAGCTGAAGAAGCAAGAAAGTTACATTATTGACCACTTAATCTAAAAAAAATTTAATTATTAAAATAGCAGTGCCGTACCATAATTTTACCTATAAGTATCAAGTAGGTAGCCCTTTGAGACGTCACTGGAATTAATAAATTTATTTTATACTCACCAAAGGAAGGCCCTTATGACGACAAATAAGCCTACTAAATTTTATTTAAATCGGCTAAAAGGTTTTTGGGTAATTGATAAAAAACCGATTTTTTTTTTAAAACCAAGCAAGTTAGGACATGATTATATCAATTTTTTTCTTATTTTTGGCTGGTAAATACGCCCTTAAAATCTTTGCACTCAGTTTTGAATCACTCTGTATTATATCTTTTAAATAAGGATACTTTTTTTAATAAACATATTTGAAGAAATTTATTTTTGAATTTTTCATAAGTTAATGCATTTTTCCAACACATTTTATTTTCCTACAACCCTGCTATAGAAGTTATCCTCTTTTTCAAGGTTTTTCGAGGAAATTAATAAAACAGGTAGAAGCGAAATTAATGTATCTACAAAATAACAGTGTTTATCCAGGGGGGGATATCGCGCATGGTGTCATGGCGGCGCTGACGTCATGCGTAGAGTTAGTAGATCTGGCGCGAAATAAATAACATATGACAGACGCATGTTGCAGTAGTTTGTGAGTCGTTTATAGTAATTTATAAGATACTAAGCAGATATTAGAATTATATTGTGTTGTAAACTTTGTTCTGTGTGAGTGGTTTTAATGAAAAACATTGAAAAATTGCAGTACGGATGTAACAGTAACAATTAAAGGAAAGGATTCAAGAAAGATATTATGGTTTCTCTCTTTCCTCGACAGTAAGAGCTTAGTCAGAAGTAAGAAGTGGCCCAAGGGCGGCTCCAGGGGAGCATGCTGTTCCCTAGATTAAAATTCTTAAAATCCATGAGCCTTTTATTTAAAAAGAAATATGCTAAATAGGCAATTCTACCATCCTTCCCAAGAAAATTCGGCATGGAGCAGCCCTTGCAGTGGCTTGTGACCCTGCAGATAAATTTTCATATGTATTCCAAGCACTTTCAACCTTCAAATTATAAGGGAGATCTTAAATCAGAACTTCACATAATGTGAAGTTGTGAATTAACCAGTGTGAATCACATTGGGACTTGGGACTTTTAAACTGGAGACTCTACCCTTTGAAGGCTAAAAATTTCGCCATATAAGCAAAAGTAAAATTGTAAATGTCACCAAAAAAAAAAAAAAGAAAATTTCGATTTGTACTTGATGAATGATTTAAAAAACTGTCAGCAACTAGGTCCAGGAAAAATGCAGCGACATTTTATTTTAATTTTGTATTGTAACAGTTATTTGTATTTGGTACATTTTTTTATGTTTTGCATTATATTATATGAATGTCTGCGTTATATTATATGAAAACAAAAAATTTAAACTTATTTTTATTTAATTGGGTAAAATAATGTAGGTAAATGAGTTGCAAATCCTAATCAGGTAAAAAACTATTCTTTAGAAGTCGAATTTGTATAAACAAAATAAATCATTAAAAAAAAAAAGGAAAATCTGGTTAAAAAAATATTTCTTTTATGTATGTATTTGCATTTATGTTCCTTCATAGTTCTTGCCTTAACTATCCCGTAATAATATCCATAGATATTTCATGTAATTTCTAAAATATCCTTAATATTTATCAAATTTCTATAAGTTAGCATATATTTTCCTCACACTTCGTTAGTATATTTAAATTCGCGCCTATACAAACTCTACGCGTGACGCCATGCGCGTGGCCGTCCTATTTTTGACACTGTTGATATCCTACCTTTTATTTTTTATACCATGGTGTTTATCACTCGTAAAGTAGCACAAAAATATATACATTTTACTTTCCAGATGAAAAATCACTGTATCTCAAAAACGAAACGTGTTCGGACCTATGTTAATATGAACTTTTACTTCTATTTTAGGATGTAGGTTACGCTATTTAAATATGACCGTCTAATTTCGGGACACCCTGTATATATACAGTGTATCTACTTAAGTTGATATGGAAATTTTTTTATTAAGTATTGGTTTTGTTAAAAATATACATACAATACATTTGTTCAAAAAACCTATAATAAAAGTATATATTTAAGTTCTGGACCTTGCAGAACTTTTTATCACGAATATATTTTTTTACAAAACCTATATAATAAAGTTTTCCATATGGTTCCAACTTAAGTAGACGCACTTTATATACCAAAAAAATGAGTACGTCAAAAATAATCATCTAAATTTCTTATTGCATCCACCCTTGAAAACAAAAAAGTAATAAAAATGTATAATGTATTATGTACTCCAATCTAAATTGGACAACAAATCTTTCATTTTAAAAAGTATATTGTGGTTCTGAAAAGAACCGTTTGTAAAAGACAAATAGAACGTCAAAGATAAATTACTCTTTTTGATACCACTAATTGAATAATGTGTCTAACAAACATTCTTTCACGGGATTCTGATTTTCTATTTCCTTTTCTCGGTACATTTTCAGCATTTTTTTAACAGCACTGGACGTTGCATTTGACTTAGTTAACGTCCAGTCAGTATCTAATACTGAGTGTAACAGTCTATCCTTGATGTTTCCACTAATTGCATCTCTTAGAAAATCAGTAAATTGATCAGGATTATCTGATGGATCCTCTTTTCCCTCTTCCTTTTTCAAATTTGTTAGTAAATCCGTCAATGCTAATACCACAGCTTCATTAAGGATTTTATATTCGATTGCCCTTGCTTTCGCTTGTTTTCTCGGACACTCTTTCTTCAACTCGTTCTTCAAAATCATCAATTTTTTTAAATATTCTGGTAAATATGATGAAGCACCAGGTTTTATTTCCGAGTCTTCTGCTGATGGTCTTCTTCTTGCTATTTTAGCAGGAGGATTGTACACATCGTCAGATTTACGTTTTAGTGTCCTTCTATTATTCATTTTTATGTTGCAATAAAAAATTTAAAATAAAATATATATGTTGTTCGTGCAACTCTCGCTGAAATAATAATCTGGAACGAAGGTTTTTATCCTTTTTATAGGTACAGGTAGATGCAGTAAGCGCCTTAATTGCTTTTTAATTGGACATTCTTAAATTCCGTTAATCTATTTTGAATTTGTTGTTATTGTTTGGAATTTGGGATTAATAAACAATGTGTTAAAAATGTAGTTATTATTCATTTTTTAAAAACAGGGATATTTTCAAATTTTTGGATTAAATTGCACTTTATTTGCTTGATTTTGTTCATCAATTCTGTAAATTCAATTTGAATTTGTTAAATATGTACAATCTATAATTTTTGTTTACTAATAATTGTCAGGAAATTCGGATTACTTATTAGTTAAGATATATATTTTTATATGAAGTCAATATATTATAATATAAATTTTTCTCAAATTATGGTTTTTTCCTAACTTTTGAGGTAAATATTTATATATTATTATTAAAAATCTAACATTTTAAAACCTTTGATATTTAGCAATTCATCAATATGATAATTAAAAGGTGTTATTCCCAAATCATAATTATTATTGAGGTGTATAGATTCAATCCATAGAGCTCGGAGAGTCTAGACACTGCTATGGGCATGTTTCTTTATGCTGGTCGCCATGTTTAGTGAATTAGGTTTTGGCTACACCGATTTTTAGTTTTTGTGTTCTGTAATAAGTCAACACTGATAATATGCATTTTGTTATTTTGGGCAAAGTCGGAATATCTGGGGGGTACTTTATTGAGGGTCATTTTTATATTTTATAAAATATATCTGTTATTTACGTTTGGAGAAGAAAATTGTTCAAATAAAAGTTACTTTTAATATTATTCTCTATAATTTTTGTTATTTACAAAATTTTCCTAAAATGGTCCATATTCGAGAAATTTTTCAAAATGTAAAATATTTTGATTTTTAATAAAATTGTTGAACTAAGAGATGTTTGTGATATCAATCAATCTCTATAATTTTTGTTTTTACATGATTTCTCTAAAATAGGCCGTAATGGAAAAATTGGAGGAAAAATATAAAATTTAAATTTTTCCGCATTTTTATTGGCAATGAGTTTATATAGAAAAATGTTTCGAGTTAAGTTTTTTTAGGTTTAAAATTCTTTATTTACATATTAAGGTATATATTTCACACATTAATAAAAACAATTCGACACTGGCCTAAGCTTCGTGCGGGCCCGTATATATTTGCAGAGGTGCTACAAAAGGTTGTACAAAATAACCAAAAAAAAACCTGTAATAACTAGATAGGGAAAGTCATGAGTTGGACACATCAGATTTTTATTAGATATTAATGTTATTATTTATAAAACTGTTCTGAAATAGATTAATTCTTACTTTATAAGTGAAATAAAGACCCAAAGAAAATTGGACATAAAATGCCCTGGAAAAATGTAATAACATGAAAAATTCAATAATAAACTAAAAAAATTATCTCAAATATGTTTATTAAAAAAAAGCATTAATAAATACATTTCTTACATCATTATCATTTCGCATGGGAATTTTTTACATAAAGAAATAACAGCTTGTCAAAAACTGTTCAATATGGTCAAATATTATCTATTTTTAAAATCTAGGGCAAAAAATGGTGTAAAAAATAAAATTTGCTATCTTAAAAATGAATTCTCTTTTTAGAATATAACCGATATATCAGAAGAATTTGATACTTTACTAGATTAATATTTGTAAATGCATGTTTTTTTATGTGAATTAACATGTTGCAAATATGTATTTTTTTAAATGTTTTGAGTTATTTAGACTTCAGTTTTAGATACATCGTGTACAATATTAAAAATCCTCATTTTTTATCAACTAGAACATATCCAAAATCCAGAATTTATATTTAAAATATGTTATATTTTAGATTATGCGTTTTGAGGTATTTGTCCTCAATTTTTAGATACATCGTGTGCAATGATAAAAATATCCTCGTTTTACCATCGGCTACAATATATCCAAAGTTCAAAAATTATATTAAAAAAAGACTCATATTTATTCGTATATTTTGGATTATGTGTTGAAAGATTAACATTACATTTATTAAAACAATTTAAATCTTCTTTAAGTAGTGTAAACAAATTATCTAATCATTGAATCGATAAACACTCTTCAAAACAAATTAAGGGATTAACTAGGTGCCTCACGGACGCCACCATGAAAAAGTCATTATCTAAAGCGCCTGCGTGACCACCCATAGGTTCCCACCCCCTTCCGTACATATAAAACTTGGCGATATCTCCAAATTTCAATTATTATACATCCAATACTGTTATCGTTAATATTAGCAAAATTAAAGTGACCAGTGCAAAGATGAGTTATAAAAATTTATTGAAACGTAAACGTAACAACACTTTGTCTGACGATAAAGACGTTCTACCTTTTAAAGTGGCTACAATGACAGACGAAACCAGACAGGGATATTTTAAGCTCCTACCAGAATATCTTAAGGATTTCATCAGAGAAAAGAACGATTTAGGAAAACCTTGTCCAAAAAGTAAAGTCCAGACTGTGCAGATGGAGCATAGTATTCTCAGTAGAGCTGCTTTTTTGGAATTGAAATACATTTCTGAGAGAAACAGAAGACAAATAATGGGCATGCGAATGTTAATGCATATTCCAGACGAGTTCCCTAAATATTTGCAGAAGTTAATCAATCTTAATGTGAGAGATAGAATGTACTATCAGTTGTATATGACTCAGCCTGCTTTGGCGAGGTGTACAGCATCTACCAACGCTGTTAAAAAAATGCTCAAAATGAACGAAGGAAAGGAGAAATATAATATGGAACAGAGTATATGAGACTTTTAATTCTTTTAATTAATTAAAAGGAGTGTTTCATCATGTTTGATATATTTGTTTCTTACAAACGGTTCTTTTCAGAACCACAATATACATTTTAAAATGAAAGATTTGTTGTCCAATTTAGATTGGAGTACATAATACATTATACATTTTTATTACTTTTTTGTTTTCAAGGGTGGATGTAATAATCAATTTAGATGATTAATTTTGACGTACTATTTTTTTATTTTTTAGGTAAATAAATATCTTCTTAAGTTGGAACCATACGAAAAATGTATTCGTGATAAAAAGTTCTGCAAGGTCCAAAACTTAAAATTCAACCATCAGATATCAATTTATTTAAGCTGTATACGAGGTTTGCCAAACAATATGATTTTTACTCAAGAGTAAATTACCTTTATATTTTACAATACAGAAGATTTTTATAAAGTTATTTTGAATTAAAAAATATACAATTTCAGCCATTTAGCCTTAAAATTCAGGTTTGGTGATTAATTAATTATAACTACAAATAATTTATAATGTAAAACGTAAATAATTACCTAACCTGAATTTTTATGCTAAATGACTGTAATTGTATATTTAAATATAACTTTAAATTCAAAATAACTTTATTTTATAATGTTCTTCTGTATTGTAAAAAATAAAGGTACTTTACTTTTGAGTAAAATTCATATTTTTAGACAAACCACTTTAAACTTTTTTTCGCAAACCACTATTTTGGCACAAGCTTTACAAAAAACTTTATCCCCCATTGAAATCCAACTCTGGAAAGTTAATAATCCACGAAGAAATTCTCGACATTTTAGGACACTTTAAAAACAACAAATTATTACAATACTTTTCACTAGGCAAATAACGAGGATACTATCTCATTAAACTGAATGAAAAACATTCAAAATATTCCGATGTTAGGGTAGATTGGTTACAAGAAATTACTGAGAATATAATATAAACCGTTTTATTGCATTGTAGGTAATACTTTATCTGTGTAAATACCATCTATTAACAATTACCTTAATGGGATTAATCTCTTAAGAAGGTAAAAACCCAGTGCATGCCACCCTCCAAGAACTAATTAACAAGAATTTACAAGAAGTGACACTTAAAAACAAATACAAACATTTAAAAGGTCTTTATTTCAAATATATCTGTATAATCTGTTAAAACAGTAGTAAAATATGCAGTATTTTCTTAAATTTTTTGAACTTTGGTAAAATATGCAATATTTTCTGAATTTTGGAAAAATATGCAATATTTTCTGAACTTTGGTAAAATATGCAAAAAATGCATATATATGCATTTTGCATATATTCCGCTCTCTAGTGATCAGTTTAAAGACATTCGAAGTATATATAAATTAGAATAGTTGTATTATAAAATAAATAATCGTTTAAATAAATTATTAATAAATAAACTGTTGTTTTAAAGTAAACAAACATCACATTATGATTTGGGAATAACTCCTTTCATTTAATTATCATATTGATGAATTGCTAAATATCAAAGGTTTTAAAATGTTAGATTTTTAATAATAATATATAAATATTTACCTCAAAAGTTAAGAAAAAACCATAATTTGAGAAAAATTTATATTATAATATAATATTGACTTCATATAAAAATAATAACTAATAAGTAATCCGAATTTCCTGACAATTATTAGTAAACAAAAATTATAGATTAAGTACATATTTAACAAATTCAGAATGAATTTACAGAATTAAAGAGAAACAAAATCAAGCAATTAAAGTGCAGTTTAATCCACAAATTTGAAAATATCCCTGTTTTTATAAAATAAATAATACCTATATTTTTAACACGTTTTTTATTAACCCCAAATTCCACACAATAACAACAAAAGAGGTTACGTAAACAACAAATTCAAAATAAATTAACGGAATTTAAGGATGTCCAATTAAAAAGCAATTAAGGCGCTTACTGCATCTACCTGTACCTATAAAAAGGATAAAAACCTTCGTTCCAGATTATTATTGCAGCGAGAGTTGCACGAACAGCAGATATATTTTGTTTTTAAAATTTTTATTGTAGCATAAAAATGAACAACAGAAGGGCACTAAAGCGTAAATCCGTTGATGTGTACAATCCTCCTGCTAAAATAGCAAGAAGAAGA